AAGTGTATGACCGGATACATAGGTGACAGATCAGACCGGGAACATAGGTAACACTTTTCAGTCTATCCGGAGCACACTCTCGGTTTTTCGGTCGTAGTACGCAAGCGTTATCCCATTAAAGATGATGGCCTCCAGGCCATCATCCTGTTCTTCCAGCATGATGTATTCGCCAGTCAGTGCTTCACTCAGGAACACCGTCCCCTTTTTCCCCATATAGAGTGTCCCCCTCGATTTCACCCTGTAGACCGTACCTCCTTCCGGATAAGCATATTCAGGAACACGGCCATCCCAGTGTCGGTTCGAGGGTTGCCAGACCGTTCCGGGCGTTGCACCCGCCAGGGCTTCATGCGGCCTTTCGTAGTTAAATTCTTCCCGGTAGTCACTGAACCACCGCTGTTGTTCTTCCATCGTCATGAAGGTGTTGCCCTGTTTCACCGCACTTTTCAGGGAGCGGTGCATTCGCTCATGGCGGCCGTTTTCTTCCGGATGACCCTTTCTGATACGCTCAGGCCTGATGCCCAGCTTGATTAGCCAGACGGCAAGACGACTTAACCCGGCTATCCCTGTTCCCGCGAAGGGCTGACCGTTATCGGTTCTGAGCACTTCCGGCAGACCGTATTCCAGGAACGCATCCGTCAGGCACTGTCTGACGAAGGGCTCGCTCTCCCGGTCCGTTCCCCGGCAGCTCAGAAGATACCGGCTGTGATTGTCGGTCAGGGTGAAAGGATGACAGTATTCCCGGCTCAGCAGCCTGAACTTGCCTTTAAAATCAGCGCTCCAGACCTGATTGTTCTCGCTGATGGTCGTCAGGGGCTGGCGATTGCCCGGGGTTCTGCGTTTTCGCTTTTTATCCGGAACCAGGCCTTCACGCTTGAGGATATCGCCGATAGTGCTGGCAGCGGGGACGGTAAAATCGACGTGATGATTGAGCAGCCACATCCGCAGTTTTTTGGGGCCCCAGTCAGGGTGTTTTTGCCTCAGGGCCGTCAGCTGTCCGGCGATATCATCAGGAACCGTCCGGGAGTGGGAGTGCGGCGCGCGCGACCGGTCAGAGAGAGATGACAGGTCAGAGGGGTCAAAACGCTGAAGCCATTTGTAGCCGGTTTTTCGACTGATGCCGAAGAGACGGCAAAGCGCGGAGAAGGAGTCCGTGCCTGCATGGCAGGCACGGATAAAATCAAGGCGTTGCATAGGTCGGGTCTCAGTCCAGGGCATAGCGAGTCTCCTCTTCTATGCCAGTTATAACTGTTACCCATGTATCCGGTCTAAAGTGTTACCCATGTTTCCGGTTCATACCG